TTTCTAAAAAGCCAAAATAACCAAAGTTCACGTCCTGTGCAAAAAGGAAATGCACTTTGCTAAATATAAAGCACATTGCATTTCAACTCCTTATCCTCCTTTAATCCTTATGTACCTGATCAAGAGCGTACACTAGTTGTGAATATTTGTGAATATTTACTCTCCAACCCTGTACAAATACAATATCTCTGCAGAGTATTTCATACAGAAATTGGTAATCTGTGGTGATTTCAGTAAACCTGTGGAGCCCTTCTGTGGACATGTCTGTAGTGTGATCTGGGTAACCTGGCTGGTTATCCCCGCTATTAATAATTGCCCAGACCCATTTCTCCCAGGAAATGAACGACACACAGTTCCAGGGTACAACCTTTGACAATCTTTATTAGGGAACACAGCTTTTTATGCACAAACCCCCACAGGGGGTCTCCTTCCAGCACAATACAATCCCAGGCATTACAGATAACCATCTCCCACTCTGGGAGATACCAATAGGAGGCAGGGACACACATGAAAACACATTACATACAGGGCGTGAACTTTGGGGCTCGGTGCCCCGGAAAGGCAAAGGGTTACCGGGTTATAATTTATATTGCTAAATAGCCCCGGGTCCCGTCTGGGATCCCTGCAAACACGGGGCGATCAGATTTACAGAGTCCAAGATATTAGCATCCAAAGTCTGGGGCTCGAGGATCTGTACATCCCCAAAATTAGTTCCATGGTGTTGCTTTGTTTAGTCCGACGAATTCAAACTTCGCGCCCAAACCAAGCAACAACCAATCGGCTGAAAGAAAAAAGGAAGAGAATAGGCGCTCACTATAGTGATCAGGCAGCAGTATATGCACAAGGATTCCCAAACCTTGTAAGTGAATAGTAGAAAAAAAGCAAAACGTATACCGCGCCTATTTTATATATGTGAAATATACATACATATATCTTGAATATTCCAAATGGATCGTAACCTCAAAAAGAAAAGATTAAGAAACAAATAATAGTGCAATACAGTAAATATATTCTTAAGAGCAGAAGGTATAAGGCTAAGTTCAATCCACTCACATATGGATGAGCTATAACAGAGCTCTGCTGTGAAAACGCCTGGACGGTACAATCCCCGTCTTTGGATTTGTAGAAGTTGCCACGAATATTTCCACAGTGCAATGAACGTAGTAAATATGAAAGGAAAACTAGCAGCAATATGGTGAAGTAAGTACTAATAGTATGATCACTTACAATTTCTAGAGCATATATCCTGCTCTAGTATAAACAGCATAGGTGGTATAATCCCCACCAAGGATATACAGGATCCAGGAAATAAAATAAAAGATTGGAGTGGATATAAAAGTAACTTTAAAAGTATACTTTAATATAAACAAACAGAATAAAAAATAAGATTTATAAAAAATAAAATTTTATAATTTATTTTATGTTTTTATAAATCTTATTTTTTATTCTGTTTGTTTATATTAAAGTATACTTTTAAAGTTACTTTTATATCCACTCCAATCTTTTATTTTATTTCCTGGATCCTGTATATCCTTGGTGGGGATTATACCACCTATGCTGTTTATACTAGAGCAGGATATATGCTCTAGAAATTGTAAGTGATCATACTATTAGTACTTACTTCACCATATTGCTGCTATTTTTCCTTTCATATTTACTACGTTCATTGCACTGTGGAAATATTCGTGGCAACTTCTACAAATCCAAAGACGGGGATTGTACCGTCCAGGCGTTTTCACAGCAGAGCTCTGTTATAGCTCATCCATATGTGAGTGGATTGAACTTAGCCTTATACCTTCTGCTCTTAAGAATATATTTACTGTATTGCACTATTATTTGTTTCTTAATCTTTTCTTTTTGAGGTTACGATCCATTTGGAATATTCAAGATATATGTATGTATATTTCACATATATAAAATAGGCGCGGTATACGTTTTGCTTTTTTTCTACAATCGGCTGAAAGGGCAGGACCAAATCGCGCCAATCAGCACTCGGGGAAGGAAGGAGTTTCGCCGCCCAATCCGAAGAAAGGGCGCAAAACTAGGTTGCACCAATTGGTGTTCCGGGAGGAGAGGGATTTTGCTGCCCAATCAGGAGAAAGGGTGCGAAACCCCGTTTGAATGGGTGCTCCTGCTCTGATTGGTCGCAAGCACCCTGAAGCGACCAATCAGTGCTTACTCGTGCCGACCAACCAGGAGAATGGTGCAAACTCAGTTTGAATGGGCGTTCCGTCTCCCATTGGTCGGCACGGACTTCCATGCGGCCATCGGGGCCCTGCGGCCATGAGACCAACTCACCGCCCCGGGGATTCCCTGCTGGCACGTATCCCTCTCTCCGGTGGATATGTTACAATGCTGCTGCCCACCCCAGGTGTTCCCTTTTAAGGGTTAATAAGTATGTAGGGGTTTAGAAAAATACCGATCTCTATCTCATTAGAGATATATTTGCATGAAGCTTAAGGAAGCAAGGTGAAAAGTCAGCGTAGGACCCACCTAAGATGTTTGCCTTGACATGGCAGGTGGGCTTCCATCTAATGGCCATTGGAGTTACTAAATAACCACCATTTATTTAAATATGCATAGGGATTTGGGAAGAGTGCAGGTAACAAATAAGGCTCCTCAAGGTTTAGAACTTGGTGCCTGAGTCTGAGCCGCTATTATTTATTTATTAATAAAATATTTTACCAGGAAAGATACATTGTGATTTCTCTCGTTTTCAAGTATGTCCTGGGTCCACAAAACATTGCATTGTTACATTAGGGTACAATAAAATACAAATACAATACAAATACAAAATACAAAAACAATATTAATACACAATATATACAAAATTTACCATAGAACAGGAAATATATAATCACCCATGACATGTGCATTCTGTTTTGAGGTATGTAGAGAGGGATCTCTTAAATGACTCTAGGCTTGAGGAAGATTTTAAAGTGTGCGGGAGGTCGTTCCACAATTGCGGCGCTCTGTAGGAGAAGGAGGATCAGGCCGCTTTCTTTTTGTATTGAGGTAGACTAAATAAAGTGCTGGTACTGGATCGGAGGTTATAGGAGGTGGGAACAACCGGGGAGAGCATTTTGCTCAGGTAGGGTGGGAGTTTCCCAGAAAAGCTCTTAAACACAAGGCTGGAAAGATGAAGGGTGCATCTGGATTCCAGCAACAGCCAGTTTAGTTATTTTAGCATGTCACAATGGTGGGTCCTGTAATTACATTGTAGCAAAAATCGGCAGAACGAGTTATGCAATGTATTGAGTTTATTAATGTGGGATTGCGGTGCAGATGCATATACTACATCCCCATAATCAATGATTGGCATCAGCATTTGCCTTACAATCTTTTCCTTTACTGTAGGGCTTAGGCAGAATTTTTCTGTACAGGGCACCTAGTTTTGAATAAAGTTTAGATGCAAATTTTTCTATGTGGAGGCCAAAAGATAGATTTGAGTCTAACATCATACCCAAGTATTTGAAAGAGTGGACTGCGGTCAATGTGCCATTTGAATTTGTTTTGATGGATAGGTGGGAATTGTGTAATTTAGGTACTGTTCCAAAGATCATTGTGACAGTTTTGTCACTGTTTAGGAAGAATTTGTTTTTTGTGATCCACTTTTCTACCTCTGTAAACTGGTCTTGGAGCACAGCCTCAAGCTGCGGTAGCTCGATTTGCTCACATAGATCAGTGTGTCGTCTGCATACATGTGTACATTTAAGGATTTGCAGACATTAGGCAGATCATTTATAAATAATGTAAATAGTAGGGAGCCGAGAATGGAACCTTGAGGAACACCACACGTGACTGGGAGAGGGAGGGAGATGCTGTCAGATATGGACACATATTGCGAGCGATCCTATACATATGATCAAAATCAGGTTAGCGAACAATCGCCAATAAGTTTTTAAGTTTGTGCAGTAGAATGTCGTGGTCTACTGTGTCAAAGACCTTGGCAAAATCAAGGAAAATAGCTCCAATTAGGTTTCCTTGTCCCTTGCCAGTTTGGATGTCATTGCAAAATTTTAAGAGTGCAGTTATAGTGGAGTGATTCTGGCGAAAGCCCAATTGATCAGGGGTCAGATAGTTTGATTGATAGTTGCGTATGGACATATTTTTCTAAGATTTTTGACAATACCGGGAGCAATGATATTGGGCGATAGTTAGAAACCACAGTAGTGTCACCACCTTTATGGATAGGCACTACTCTCGCAGTTTTCCAAAGTTTGGGTATGTATTATAACACCAAGAAGAGGTGTAAACAAAGAAAGTACCGTAGAAACCACAATACATTCTGGAGGTACAAGAAGAGTATTCTCTTGCTCCTGTTCCTCCCCTGTTTCGTATTGCCTTGATAAGGCATCTGCCTTAATGTTTCTAGTACCAGGCCTATATGTTATAGCCAAATTAAAACATGACAGAAACAAAGACCATCTAGCCTGTCTGAAAGATATCCTTTTAGCCTCCCGGATATATTCTAAGTTTTTGTGATCAGTTATGATTATCAGAAGTACTTTGGATCCTTTCACTAGATGTCTCCATTCCTTTAATGCTAAAATGATAGCCAGTAACTCCCTGTTTCTTATATCATAATTCCTTTCTGCCGGTAATAGCTTTTTAGAAAAGAAGCCACAGGGGTGCAGTGGTTTATCATGACTTTCGCTCTGTGAAAGGATGGCATAAAACCCCTCTTTCAGAGGCATCTATTTCAGTAGGAATGGTTTACTAGAATCAGGATGAGAAAGTATATGTCACGACAACTATATGATCCAACAGAACTATGTAACATCTATATAGACAGGGCCGGTGCAAGGATTTTTGTCGCCCTAGGCAAAAGAAGGATCTCCCCCCCTCGGAACATCGCAATGCCCCACCCATATGAACTAACGCCAGTGCTGCACACAGTGTGTGTTTACATTAAAAAGCCTGCAGGGACAAATTATAGACACCAGAACAACTTTATTAAGTTGCAGTGGTTCTGGGGGTCTATAGTGTCCATTTAATGTGAGGTAAATTAGAGATTAGTGTCACTAATAATATACTAGATTGCCTACTTACAATCAGATGAGGATGGAGATGGGCTCTGGCTGCAGTCTGGCTCCACTGGTCTGGTGTAGAACAGGATCTCTGGAGGCTGTTTGTAACTGTGGTCACAAAATTCAATGTTCTGGGAGAACGGGAAGCAGCTCCATTTTTTTGGGGCCTCTTACATAGCTCAAGGTCTGGGCCCCAGGGCCTGACGGTGAGTATGCCCATAAAGCCCACCCATAAGTCCCCCTACATGTTCCACCCATGAACTCACAGGGAGTAGAGTGTGTAGGGGATTTGTTATGTGTTACTGTAGAGGATCTAATGTGTGTGCTTACAGAATGTAGTGTATAGGGATACCAGTTTGTGTAGGTGATGCAGTGTGTTTGTGTGTAGTGGAAGCAGTGTGTGTGTGTGTGTATAAGAGATGTATTGTGTGTTTCTTGTTGTGTGTAAGGGATGCATTGTGTGAATCTGTGTTTGTATGCATAAGTGATGCAAAGTGTGTTTCTGTGTATGTAAGGGATGCAGTGTGTGTGTGTCTGTAAGGGGTGCGTTGAGTGTGTGTAGGAGATGCATTGTGTTTCTGTGTGTGTGTAAGAGAAGCAGTGTGTGTTTGCATGTGTGTGTAAGGGATGCATTGTGTGTTTCTGTGTATATGTGCAAAGGATGCATTGTCTTTATGTGTAAGGGTTGCATTGTGTGTTTCTCTGTGTGTAAGGGAAGCATGTTGTGTGTGTGTGTGTGTGTGTGTGCGCGTGGTGTGAAAGAGCTCCCTGTCCCCCTGTCCTATAGAGCTCTCCCTTCCATTCCTTAGAGATCTCCCCTGCCCTTAGTGGTCTCTCCTCTCCCCCCCCACCTCCCTTAGTGGTCTCCTTTTCTCCCCGACTTTCCATTAGTGGTCTCTCCTCTCCCCCCACCCTCCCCTAGTGGTCTATCCTCCACCCCCCTCCCTCCTTTAGTGGTCTCTCCCTCCACTACGTTCTCATCTCCCACCCCTCGTGTTCTCCTCTTCTTCTCCCCCGTGTTTTCCTCTTATTCCCCCCCCTGTATTTTCCTCTTATTCCCCCCCTGTGTTCTCCTCTTCTCCCTCCCTGTAATCTTCTCCCTCCCCCTTGTAATCTTCTCCCTCCCTCCCTGTATCGCTTCTTCTCCCCCATAATCTTCTCTTCTTCTCCCCCCTAATCTTCTCCACTCCTACCCCCTCCCTCCCATCAATCATCTCCCCCCCTCCCTCCCATCAATCATCTCCCCCATCAAAACATATCCCCCTCCCTCTCATCAATCTCCCATCAAATCATCTCCCTCCATCATCTCCCTCCCTCCCATCAATCTTCCCCCCCCCTCCCATCAAATCATCTCCCCCTCATCTCCCCTATCACCCCCTCCTCCCCTCCCATCAATCATCTCCCCCCCTCCCTCCCATCAAAACATCTCCCCCCCCTCCCTCATCAAATCATCTCCCTCCCATCAATCATCTCCCTCCCATCAATCTCCCCATCAATCTTCCCTCATCAAAACATCCCCCACCCTCCCTCTCATCAAATCATCTCCCCTCCCATCAATCCCATCATCTCCCCCCTCCACTTCAAATCTTCCCCTCATCATCCCCCCCTCCCTCCCATCAATCTTCCCCCCCCTCATCTCCCTCCCATCATCTTCTCCTCACCTCACCTCACCTCCCCTGCCCTGCTGTAGCATGGCCGAGCTGCTATCCGGTCCGCGACCCGGCGGGACTGACAGGAAGTGCACACTCAGTGTGCACTTCCTGTCAGTCCGGCCGGGTCGCGGACCGGAAAGGAGCTCGGCCATGCTACAGCAGGGCAGGGGAGGTGAGGCACTGTGGCAGCCGCCTGAGCGCTCTCTATAGAGCGCTCAGGCGGCTGCAGAATTTAAAGGGCCGGCGGCTGCCTAGTTCGCCTTATAGGAAGCGCCGGCCCTGTATATAGAATAAAAAAACAGAACGTAAACTGGTCCTTAGAATGGCTGGGTTAATACGTTGAAGAATAGTAAATAGTCAAGGGAAAGCCGAGGTCAAGGGAGCCGGAAATATACAAGATAGATAAGAAAGCCAAGTTAGGGAAACCAGAAATTAGAGTAGTCAGGAATAGCCGAAGTTAAAAACAATAACAATCAGTAAAGCGCATTCTCGGATACCAGGAATGGAAACCATGATAGGGCAATGAGCTAAGGTATTTTGAGGTTTAAATACCCCTCCTTGGGCTGTGATTGGTCAGAGCTTGGCCTCTGACCCCAGAACATGCATGTGCGTGGACATCATGATGTCACACGCACGTTCGCATAATTTTTGGAGGCGGGGCTACAAATGGACATGACTTCGTGGTCAGTGCCATTTTGGATCCCGAGTGTGAAGGGAATTGAAGCCCCAACAGTCCGGCTCCTGGCTCGCTGCTGCACAGGTAATTCCTTAGTGTGGTCGCACACTATCGGGTGCGGCTGCGAGCCGGGGGCTGTGACAGTATAGGAGCTGAGGCGAACAAGGCTTTGAGATGCTCAAAGACGTCAAAAGCCTCCTTAGGCCAGAACTGGCTCTTAACATTTTTACATGTCAAATTGGTTATTGGTGCTATTACAGTAGGAAACCCCTTGATAAATCTACGGTAATAATTAGCAAACCCAATAAACCTTTGGATAACCTTCAAACTGTGCGGTAAAGGCCATTGCAATACTGCCTCTAGTTTCTTTGGATCAATTTTAAAATCAGAAGGGGATATTGTGTAACCAAGAAACTGCACCTCCTTTTCATCGAACAGACACTTTTCTAGTTTACAATAAAGACCATTCTTTAGCAAGGTTTGTTAAACAAGTTTGACCTGTGTGTGATGCATTCTTAGATCAGGTGAGTACACTAGTATATCGTCCAGATACACAAATACGAAGGAATAAATAAAATCCTTCAGGACATCATTGGTGAGATTCTGGAAAACAGCAGGGGCATTACATAACCCTAAAGGCATCACCAGGTATTTGTAATGGCTATTTCTAGTATTGAAAATTGTTTTTCATTCATGCCCTTCTTTAATCCTAACTAGATTATACACACTCCTTAAATCTCCTAAAATACTTTAGCCCCTTTTAATCAGTCAAACAGTTCAGATATGAGTGGTATATGGTAATCATTTCTTATGGTTATTTTGTTGAGCACCCAGTAAACAATACATGGGTGTAGATCACCCTCCTTTTTTGAAACAAAGAAAAGCCCTGCTCCCGCTGGAGATGAGGATCTGTGTATGTGATCCTTTGTCAAAGATTCCTGTATGTACTCCTCCATAATTTTACTTTCTAGGGGAGACAGGTTATAGACACTTCCTGTAGGAGGCATTGTGCCTGGCAATAGATCTATAGAACAGTCATGATCTATGCGAAGGTAGAGTATCGGCATGTACCTTGTTAAATACTTCATTTACATCCCTATATTGAGGAGGAACCGTAGTTTAAAGTAGAGAGGCAGTGGGCACATTGATAGAACTCAACTGGTTGGCAACATGTATAAGGCATATATTGCTACACTCCTCACCCCACTTCACCATCTCCCCATTTTTCCAATCAATGTGTGGATCGTGCTTGACCATCATGGAAAACCAACCACAATAGGGCATGAAGGCGAGGAAATAACCTGGAAGGTGGTTAGTTCCCTATGTAAGGCCCCTTTTTGTTCAAAACAGGGAAGGTCTCATGCGTAATGAATGGTTTCTTAAGAAGTCTACCATTATGGCCTCAACGGCCAAAGGTGTTAACCTCTCCTTTAGAGGTTTTCTTGTGTATGGACACTAAGTGAGCATATATAAAGTTTTCTGTTGCTCCTGATTCAAGTAATGCGTTATTATAAACACCAAGATCATGAGACAGGATGAACACAGGAAGGAGAAGTCTAGTAAGAGGCATAGCATGGGACATAAACATAACACCTAAGGCTGGTCCCCTAACGGTCCCTAGGTGCGCAAGTTTTCTGGACATATTGGGCAGTTGTTTCTCATATGTCCTTTTTTGCTACAATAGATGCAAAGGCCCTCATTCCTCCTGTATTGTCTCTCTGTTTCTGACAATCTCATAATCCCTAATTGCATGGGTTCAGGTTTAGCTACAGCTGAAGGAGGCTTTTGGACAACAGGGTTGGAAAATCGAGGAGCAAGATGAGTGCTATTTCATCTGGACCTATTTCTGATTCTTTCACTTTATCTTACCAATATTGATGTGCATCATATAGGTGGTGTACTCACTGAGTTTATCTGGCAAGTCCTTGGCTGCCACCTCATCAAGAATGATATCTGACAAACCTTCTGCAAAGGTGGTAACTAGGGAACTGTTAGTCCAATCCACCTAAGGGCAAGTGTACAGAACTGGATGGTGTAATCTGCCACTGTATGGATACCTTGCTTTATGCGCATAAGTGCTTTGGCAGCATTCTTTTTATTACCCAATGGTTCAAAAGTTTGAATTCCACAAGAAATTCAGCATAACCATATGCAATAGATTTATTGCTTTCCCAAAAGGGATTGGCCCAGGTCAAAGCCTTCCCTATCAACTGGTTCATTAAATACCCTATCTTTGAGCTGTTAGAAGGGAATGAACTGGGAGAGGCTTCAAAGTAGTATTTTATCTGGTTTAGAAAACCATGACACTCCTGTGCATCACCACCAAAATGAGGTGGTGGTGATAGTGAAATAGAAGGTGTTTTGTAAACTATAGGAACCACTGCAACAGGATGGGGTGGAACCGGTTGTCGATCATCACGTTGTAAATGAGCAGTATGGGCCAACAAGGTCTGAAAGGCCTGGGCAAACTGATCCATACAATGATCAAAGTCATCGACCCGTCTCTCACAAGCTACCATATGCTGACATAGTTCTGCAGGGTCCATGGCCTTGTCGTAATGTCAGGACAATACAGTGGCCCAACATGCAGAACTAAGTAAATAATAATCCAAGGTAAAACGTATTACTGGGCCTTAGAATGGCCAGAATTAATGTAAAAAGAATTACCAGTAATTAGCCGAGGTCAGGGATACAGACAGAAGCAAAAGCAGAATTCAAAAGATCAGGAAGCCAGACGTAAGAATTGTCAGAATAAGCCAAGATAAAAAAATAGAAATCACAAATACAGGAACACTCTCTCGGATAACCAAACAGGATGGAAATCACGACAGAGGGAATACAGAAATGGGTTTAAATAGCTCCTTCCTCACTGTCATTGGTGGGCAGGGATCAGCTGATTCCAAAACGTAGGTGGTGCCAACGACGTGGTGGTGCACGCACATCCGCATGACCCCCGA